GCCGCGCGCCCCGCGCCATTTCGGCCTGCGCCCCGCCCGGCCCCGGGGCTTCGGCGCGGAGCTGAAGAATTCCGCACAAAGCCCTTCTGCCACGGCCCTCGCCTGTTTATACCTATTTTCTACATGCTGCTATTGCTTACCTCTGTAGTTGTGGCACCGTTTCCACGTTGTGGGCGTAGACGTCCAGCCCAGACAACGCTACCTTCTCCACGGCCTTAAGGTCCCCGCGGAAGTCGGGAGTCAGGCATTCTACCAGAATTTTTGAATTCCTGAAAAGGAGAGACTGCAAATGAACACGTCTGTGGGATTTGTGTCACTGTTGCTTAAAAAACTCCACATAGCAAAAAAAAGCAAACGTTAAATAAATCATGCTCTGATAAATAAATCACGCTCTGATAAATAAAGCAAAGCAAATTCGGGATACACTTCAAAAACAACAGATTCCTGCAAATACTTCTATTACAATTCAAACAAAACGTGTTTAATTCCCGGTTTTACTGTTGTGGGCTGAAATAGAACAAAAGCCAAATGATAAATCTAAAAGTGAATCCAACAGGCTCTTAATCACATTCGCTGTTTATACGTGATTTTTCACGTGTCTCTGTTGCAGGTTAACTTAATACAAGTTTAATACCATGGCTCCAGAACAGAGAGGAGCTATAATCCTGCCTACTGGGATAAGAAGACTCTGCATTATTGCCCCAGAATCTAATCTTGGTGCCTGGGAGCCAGCTCAGAAAGGCAGGTGGGGAAAACTGCAGGAACCTTTTGAGTCCCAAGGTACACTGGATAAAGACTTAAATGAGGTTATACAAATTAAATCTGCAGGTAAACAAGTATGCTATCAAATGGCGTACAGGGCACTGATGCAGAGAGTGAAGAAGGCGTAGCTAGGAAAAGTAGGAAGGTACAATCACAGACTTAGAAACAGCCATTGTGGGAAAACACAAAGCAATCTGATCACTGCTGGAAGAGAAACCCAACTTCTTTTGTCATGTGGTGACACTGTTATCTAAATCCAGTGTTTGAGTCCCAAGCTTCAAGAATGAACATACCTCAAAAGTATGTACTCATTTCCTCGTAAACCAGCTGCATGGTCAAGGAACTAATCCAGTGCTTAGCTTGAAATAACCCTGGGCTAAATTGGAAATGCATCCAAATTCAAAATAACAGGCTGTTATATGAGAAAGATCAAAAAACAGGAAAAAAAAAGGGACATAGATAGGCTAAAGGCAGACTTTTGTATTTGCACCGCCCCTGGAATAATCCAGCTAAAGGTAGTTTTGACCTATATGCAGTACCACATTCTACAGTTTTAATAGTAACAGTAATACATTAATGATATACCTTTCTTTCAGATGAGAGACTGTCTTTGCAAAGTGTTCTGCTCCACCGTCAGGCATATCTAGAAATATTTCAATTATTCCGTTAACTTTTCAGTTCAAGAAATGTATTTACTTATTAGCAAAGCCACAGAAAACCTAGAGTCAAATTTAAATGCAAACTAATAAAGCAGTCAAACCCCAGTCTTATCTTACCGCTTATGCCAAAGGTTTACAACAGAAATTCTACCAAGCTTTGTTCTGCACAAAGTCTAACTGTGATCATCCAGGGCAGACTTCAAATGTTTACTCCGAATCTATCTGCCTCTAAGTTCACTGTCAGCCTGAGTACAGAATGGCTTTATCTATTTACTTTTTTGGTCTGAGAAACAGTTCTACAAAAATCGAAATATATATATTATTGCTCTTTTATTGTAAGCCACTTTGAAGCTACCCGACTTCCCACCAAAGTCTACTGAACAGTCTTTACAACGGTTTCCCCACCTATGTGGTATCGTCACAAAGGAGCTACTACAACCTTAGAAAAAGGCAACTTTCAGTTATGTTATGTATAATATATTCCAGGTTTAGTTTTTGGAAGGAAGTTCTCTAATGGTATTGTATATGAATGTTTGGAGGGGTTTTTTTTTTGCTAATCAAGTAATAGAACATGGTGTATATGTATGTATTTTGCAAAAAAAAGTTATAAAATGTTTCGTATTGTAATATTCTTGATGTTTAGTAACAGTGTAACTTCTGTTATCTTTTACCAGGCATAGAGAAATACTAAGAATGTGTAGAAACTTTCCAAAGTTTCAGCACTGTCCACTCCTTTAAAATAGTAATCCTCAACAATTCTGCTGAGTGATAAATGTTTATGGAGGTCTGCATTTACCCCATGTAACGCATACGAGAGCTTAGGCTGGAAGAGATGAGAGACAACGTACTAACCGTCTCTGTCCACAGACGTCAATACAACATAATCCAAGCCCCACTCAGCTATAGCCTTTGCTGTGTTGTAAGGCTCCATGGGATCCAGTGGAGGTGGATTTTTGGCTGTCTTTACTGAACAAAATCTGCAACCTCTAGTGCATGTGTCACCCATCAGCTGAAATAAGAAAGACATTCCTACCTTTACATTGTACACATGTACAAAGCTGAGGAACAGCTGCATAAGCTAGATCAGATAAATCCCAACACTATGCAAAACAGCGAGGAGGGTGATTTACTCTAAATTTCTTGTAATAAACCCACACCACTGCAGTAGAGGTCCAACAATATACTACAAACAGCTCAAACATTAATAGAATACTTAAGAAATGGTTAACGGCTTACCATAATAGTAGCTGTAGCTGTAGCATATTCACCACCTCCCCAGCATTCTCCAATGTTGGGACAACGTGCTTCTTCACATACCTAAAGTTAAAAAACAGCAATGTATCTGTCTTTTTTTCAATTTTTTTAATTGAAAATTATTATTATATTATCGATCAATTTAAATTGTAGCCTACAAACAAAACATAATTCCTCCTGCGATAAATGAGGAGACTAACAGAGTTACATGTTGTTCTATAAGATAGTCAGTGGAATAACTAGGAAGAGGATGATTGTTTCCTGGCATCCGTTACCATTCTTTTCCTGTACTTCACAACTCCAAAAACTCCTCAACCACATAACTCCCTTATTAATTAGCACAGATTATCATTAACATTTTAAATTTAAAAATTGGTAAAATGTTCACAAAGTCTGTGATGCATCAAAGCAAGATCTTACTCTGAAAAAAAAAAAAGGAAAAAAGCTCTCCATGCATACCCACCACTTTTTACCATCTGGAGGGCATACTTAATGAAATACATATATTCCTAGAATTTCTTTTCATGCAAATCATGTATATAACTCTGAAATTCTGCGTGTTTCCGTTAAAAACAGTCACACACAGCATCTTGTGATCTCTTTGGTGATGCAAGTAGTAAACCCTAGTATTTAAACTCACAGCAGGAAAAACATGAAATACTCTACTGGATTTGTCTTCATTCTTTATGGGTAAAATTCACTACTGGCAAAAAGGATCAGCATTGGGCTTGGTTTCAGCATTGAAGGTCACACAAGACATTATATCTACCTGTCCTCCTCAGAGAAATAATTTTGTATCTGTAAAAAATGCCCTATTTCTACAGGAAAACTTGGTTGGTACTGGATTTACCGTATGAAGATTTAAACTTCTCAAGGTATTCTTTAGTTTATTGTAGTTCTTTCCCATGGGAATCTTTGTTTTCAGCCATGGAGGAAGTCGCAGCCTGAATAACATCAAGCAAACATGAAGATTAATAAATTATTTACTGGTAAGCTTCCATTAATTTCACAGATCCCCTTTAATTAGTTACAGATCCCAGCTAGGGAAGGTTCCTTGAAAACTGATGCAACTCAGCAACCAATATTAACGTCATTAATGGTCATAATGGACTTCTGTCTTCCACGTTTATCATCAGCCCAACATTCAAGAGTAGGAGTTTGTTGTCATTGGAAGGTTTAAAACTGTTAACTGTACCAGTGGGATTTAATAGTGCCGCACTGAAGACTGCAACAATTAATGACAGCGTATGTTACACAGCTATCACAAAGTCTGATCAGATTTTTAACTGGAATTATGGGGGGGGGGGTTTACGCATATTTCAATTTAGTCTCTATTTTTTGTTTTACTCTATCAGTAATATTTTTTCAACACCAAAGTAGGGTACACTCACCTACTGATGTATATTTGTAATTTAATACAGGCCATGGCACAGGCACTCAAGTGAGAAAATACCACCACGTCTTCGTGTTTTGTTATGCATTTGAAGTTAAGTTTGTTCTTTCTTGAAAAATTATGAAAATGGCAAGCCAGTAGGACAGAATTTAATAAAAATACATTGTATACATTTTGTAGTTAATACTAAACACACAAGATAGCACATGGAAGCAACTGCAGTTGTTTAAAATCACAATTACCTTTCTCCTTTCTGACGCTTTAAATTGCCTTTATACTCAGCCCACGTGCTCTTGTCTGACAAATCTCCAGACACAAAGTCTTGTAAGCCTGGTCCATTTTGCAGAAACTCTTTTTTTTCCTCTGGCAAAGAACCTGATGTTCTGTACTGGTTACACACATGGCTCCCAGATACCTAAAAGAAGCAACGCTGTAATTTATTGAGTGATAAATGTGCTAGCATTATATACTAAATGCCACTTTTGGAAGTGGTATTTGGAAGCATTATATACTAAATTACCACTTTTGGAAGAAGGGGCAGGCAACTCAAGAAGAGTACAGGGATCTCATTAGGTCATGCAGAGAATTAGAAAGGCAAAAGCCCAGCAAGAACTCAATCTGGCCACTGTTGTAAGAGATAATAAAAAATGTTTCTACAAATACACTAACAACAAAAAGAGAGCCAAGGAGAATCTCCATCCTTTATTGGATGCGGGGGGGAGCATTGCCACCCAGGATGAGGAAAAGGCTGAAGTACTTAATGCCTTCTTTGCCTCTGTCTTTAATAGCCAGAGCAGTCATCCCCAGGGTATTCAGCCCCCTGAGCTGGAAGACAGGGACAGGGAGCAGAATGGAGCCCTCATAGTCCAGGAGGAAGCAGTTAATGACCTGCTATGCCACCTGGACACTCACAAGTCTATGGGGCCGGATGGGATCCAACCGAGAGCACTGAGGGAGCTGGTGGAGGAGCTCACCAAGCCACTTTCCATCATCTACCCCAAAAAGCCACTTTCCATCATCTATCAGCAGTCCTGGTTAACAGGGGAGGTCCCTGATGACTGGAGGCTTGCCAACGTGACGCCCATCTACAAGAAGGGCCGGAAGGAGGACCCGGGGAACTACAGGCCTGTCAGCCTGACCTCGGTGCCAGGAAAGATTATGGAGTGGTTCATCTTGAGAACGCTCAACAGGCATGTGCAGGTCAGCCAGGGGATCAGGACCAGCCAGCATGGGTT